CAAACAGACTGACAGACAGAGATCGTACGATAAACAAATAGATCGTACAATAGCAGACAGAGATCGTACAATAGCAAGATAGATCGTATAAATGCAAACAGACTGACAGACAGAGATCGTACGATAAACAAATAGATCGTACAATAGCAGACAGAGATCGTACAATAGCAAGATAGATCGTATAAATGCAAACAGACTGACAGACAGAGATCGTACGATAAACGGATAGATCGTACAATAGCAGACAGACAAACAGAGATCGTATGATAAACACATAGATCGTACAATATCAGACAGTCAGAGAGATCGTCCGACAGATAGATCGTACAATAGCAGACAGACAAACAGAGATCGTATGATAAACACATAGATCGTACAATATCAGACAGTCAGAGAGATCGTCCGACAGATAGATCGTACAATAGCAGACAGACAAACAGAGAGATCGTACGATAAACAGATAGATCGTACAATAGCAGACAGACAGAGAGATCGTATGATAAACAGATAGATCGTACAATAGCAGACAGAGATCGTACAATAGCAAGATAGATCGTATAAATGCAAACAGACTGACAGACAGAGATCATACGATAAACAGATAGATTGTACAATAGCAGACAGAGATCGTACAATAGCCAGATAGATCGTATAAATGCAAACAGACTGACAGACAGAGATCGTACGATAAACAGATAGATCGTACAATAGCAGACAGAGAAAGAGATCGTACAATAGCCAGATAGATCGTATAAATGCAAACAGACTGACAGACAGAGATCGTATGCAGACAGACAAACAGAGAGATCATACGATAAACAGATAGATCGTACAATAGCAGACAGACAGAGATTGTACGATAAACAGATAGATCGTACAATAGCAGACAAACAGAGAGATCGTACGATAAACAGATAGATCGTACAATAGCAGACAGACAGAGAGATCGTACGGTAAACAGATAGATCGTACAATAGTAGACAAACAGAGAGATCGTACGATAAACAGATAGATCGTACAATAGCAGACAAACAGAGAGATCGTACGATAAACAGATAGATCGTACAATAGCAGACAGACAAACAGAGAGATCTTACGATAAACACATAGATCGCACAATAGCAGACAGACAAACAGAGAGATCGTACAATAGCCAGAGAGATCGTATAAATGCAAACAGACTGACAGACAGAGATCGTACAATAGCAGACAGACAGACAAACAGAGCAACTGTACGTTTGACAGACAGAGACAGAAAGACAGACAGTCAGTTTGTACAACAGACAGACTGTACGATAGACAGCTTGTAAGATAGATAGACGGACAGACTGTACAAGAGAAAGACATATCACATGATAGACAGACAGATATATTGTACAATAGATTGTATGATAGACAGACACACTGATCGTACAATAGATTATACAATTGACAGATAGACGGCACAACAGATAAATTGATTGTATGCTAGATAGACAGACAGACTGATTATTTGACAGACAGGCACAGACAGACTGAGAGACAGACAAACCGACAGAGACAGACAAGACAGACAGAAAGACAGACAGATCGTATGATATACAGACAGATCGCACAACAGACAGACACACAGAGATAAATAGATAGATAGCATGACAGACAGATAAACAGACTGTATGTTAGACAGACAGACAGATGTGATGTACCTGTTGGGTCAGTTGTTTCATGAGGGGCTGTAGTTCACTGAAGAGATCATAACCTTGATGGAAGAAGGTCAGGTGTGCGTACATGAAAGACAGCATCTGTACAACAGACGACAGGTTTAATAATACAACTAACATGAGAATATGAATCTTAAGTCTTAATTATAAATCATGAGTAAGAATATTTTACCGATTTGAGGATTTCTGATCGTCTCTTGGACTGCAGCACATTAATCTGAAAAATAATAATATTAATATAAACAAAACAAACAAACAAACAAGTAAATTCCCTACTTAAAAGAACAGGTACTTTTTACTAACATACATTTTTAAAACAAAAGTGAAACATTAAATCCATGAGGTCACCATTAATTTGGGGATTTTCCCAATAGGAAATATCAGTTAACATTGTCAACAAAATCACATACTTTTTTTTTTTTGCTTCACCAAACAACAACAAAGATAAGTAATATTATGCATGTATTCATGTGCACATATTTTGGATATACAGTTTATACAGTTTTATAAACGTTTATAAATTTGGTCACGGTTTCACTTCACACATATTCTAAACTAAAATGTTTTGCTGACTACAATTATATGCAATTTTGATCACAGTAAAATGATGAAAAACCAAATAGATATATATATATATAATGCATATGACATATGACAAAAACAAACTATAAAAATGAACACTGGTGACCACTAATGCTTCAATAATGAAGCATTATCAAATCTAACACATCTGCTTCCTGAACTCCCAAATGCACATCTTTTATTCTTTCACAACTGACTGGAAACAAGCAGTTCTTTCGTTGAGCCACCAGGGGGCGCAATACACTGCACACTGAGCGCCTGTAAACCACACACATTACAACACTCACTGACTACCGACTCACTGGAGAGATTTAACAGAGTTTCCGGGCTGCTACACATCATTTTGAGAGAAAGGTCAACCTATGGTTATTACGCTCAAGTCATTTGAATTCTAGCTGCTAGACTGACCTCGCAAAGGGGAATTATTTCAACTGAGTGTGTGCAGTCTCTACAGAACACAGGAAGAGCAATGAGAGGACACAAGTATTGTGTGACAAGAACTGATCAAGTTTCTCTTTCAAACATCCTTTCTCTCGCAAACAACCATAAATGCTATATTAATGCCAATAAATCTATATTATTTGCATACGTCTTGTGACTGTGATGTAATGACAGGAATTTGTACAAAGGTTGTTTGAGTACAAAGGTTAACCCTGAGTCCCTGCGGTATTTAACTAACACCAGACGGGTCTCGGCGCTCTTACCTGCAGCACGTAGTCCAGGACGATGTGGCGGAAGCACTTGCGCGTGGCGATGAGGATGCTGGTGGCCTCCTCCACCTCGTGCTGTTTGTTTCGAGGCGCCTGGGCATTTTTGGACAGGGCTGCTTCTTTCTCCTCGCTCACTTTGTCAAATTGTTTCTTCGCTTCTTTAAATTTCCGAAGGTCCCTGCGCACAGCAATACCATTCCTTAAATGTGCACTCAACGACTGCTGAAACCGTGCCATTATAAACTCTGGCTTTAGCTTTGTGTATGGAGTCTATTGATGAACTGATAAATCGGTTTGGTGGCTGTAAAAGCTGATGGTCTGTACTCAAAAAATGGATGACAAAATACAGCATATAAAGTTGTATTGCGCAACATACGTTGTTTTGGTGCTGAAACTTAGAAAATCCATGTGGCATGGACTGACTGCTTTAATAATTTTCACAATTGATAAACCGATATATCGGCCTCGCAGATACTTGGACTTGAACATTTTTAAATTTACACATTATTTAAAATACATATCAGCAAATAAATCTGTTAATCGGGTACTCTAGATGTTGACATCAGCTCTTAAAAACTCTACAATCAACTGTTAAAGGGTTCACCCAAAAATGAAAATTAGCCTGTGTTTTACTCGCCCTCAAAGCATCCTAGGTGTATATGACTTTCTTCTTTCAGACGAATCCAGTCGGAGTTATATTAAAAATTGTCCTGGCCCCTCCAAGCATTACAGTGGGGGTAAGCAGGTGTTGGTTGTCAACAGTTCAGAAGACGTGAAATAAAGTGCGTGCATCTGTAATAAAACCTCCCTCACACGGCTCCGGGGGGTGAATAAAGGCCTCCTGTAGCGAATCCATGCATTTTTGTAAGATAAATATCCATATTTCAAACGTAATAAACACTTTTCTCTCACTTCTGGTATTCTGTCATACGTGGAAGCCGTTCCGGAGGATGTCGTAGCACATCGGCGTTGCGTGATAAGTGACGCACGCGGAGAGACAACAAAACAAAGGTCACGAATTAGAAGCACAAAACGAGGATTTGTAAAGAAAACTGTCGGAGGATTTCGATATAAGCCAAGAGGAGACTGGTTTTCCTTTGCTAAAGTAAGGAAACTTTGTTTCCATTGCTCCTGCATTTATCAGAGGCGCGCGCACGCACGACGCATACGTCATCCGTTGGAACAACTTCTGCGTACCACAGTCAGCGGACGTGAGAAAAAAGTGTTTATTACGTTAGAAATATGGATATTTATCTTACAAAAATGCATGGATTCACTACAGGAGGCCTTTATTCACCCCCCAGAGCCGTGTGAGCATGGCCAGACTTACCATTGGGCTTGACTGGGCTGCAGCCCAGGGGCCCCGCCTTAACCAGTTTACATTAGTTCAGTTATGTGCCATTCAGAAATTATTAGTCGCATTTCAACAGCGCGCACGGGCCAGCCGGGGCTAACAACTTCCAGCTTCCAACTACGACATTCGAAGCCATAATCAAACAGCATAAACTGGAATTTATGATTTTTTTTCACAGAAAAAGGACACGCGTATTAAATCACGTCTGCGATGCGCCGAATCGCCGATTAATTTGTGATCACATGGCTACTTTAAACGGTTCCATTAAGCCTTTAGCCCAAAAGAGCGCACATTTACAAAGATAATGATAAATTCTCACATGTTCACGCCTCACTTCTTTACAGAGGATGATTCTATATTATATTAATGTTCCACTAAATTAATCTGAAGAGTTTTGAGCGATCTCTCCCGTCCAAAGACTATAGAATTTAGCATATTTCTTAGAAGTATAACTAAGCATATATTGAATACAAAAGTACTTCTAGTATACTTTTTAGAAATATATTAAAATGCAATTCAATATATTTTTATTACCCTTCAAATAAGCATGTTGGGAATACAAATGTATTATAAACATACTACTTGAATTTCAAGTATATTTTTAATACATTTAATACTACGTCTTTTTCACCTTGGAAGTTACTAGCAATAGAACAAGGATACAAATTAAACAAAGTTTTTCAGGTAGGCTATAGCCTAAAACTAACAGTAGCTGCTACTATTCAGGAACAAAATAGTATGATGTATAAAGTCATGGATATAGATTATATTTATATATTAATCCATATTAAATATGAAAAAGTTATTTAGTCAAGAGCAGATTTGAGCAGAGTGATTTGTTTTGTTTTGTTCTTTAACACAGACTGAAATACAGCAGGTATACTAAAAACTGCTGTCACTTTCACACCAAATGTTAATGTTAACAATGTTAATTAATTATTAGTTATTGTTATGGAGAGATCACATCCTGTTTATTGTATTATAGTGACTATTTAATATTACATCTAAACTTTGACTAGGCTAGACATGTTGCCTATTAATTGTATACAGTATATGAACCTGAAAGCATATTTAAATTTTTGTGTATTTTGTGTTACTCCATAATAATGTTCTAGTTGAGGGCATTTGTAGTATAGGTATGGGGCCCAAACATAACCTCAAGCCCAGGGGCCCCCGGCCCCGTAAGTCCTGCCCTGCGTGTGAGGGAGGTTTTATTACGGATACACTCACTTTATTTCACGTCTTCTGAACTGTTGACAACCAACACCCGCTTACCCCCACTGTAATGCTTGGAGGGGCCAGGACAATTTTTAATATAACTCCGATTAGATTCAGCCAGGGGCGGCGCCAGAGAATTTTGAATGCAGGTGCTGAGGGGGTGCTAGATCATTGACAGGGGGAGCTGGGCAATTCAGGGCTCCAGACTCATTATTCCCACTGGTCGCTCTTTTGCGACTAACTTTCTCAGTGGGTCGCACGAGCACATGTTTTTTGTTTTTGTTTTGTTTTTGCTACAGCGTGGGATTAATCAGTGCATGCTGATGAACTTTTATCATAGTTTATAGTTATATGAAAACGAAAGTGGTCAACATTCAACCCGTTCTTTTTCCTCTTTTGCTGTTATAAACAGCCCCCGCCCACACACACACACACAACACCACCAACATGTTCACCTTCTCTGGTTTAAGAAGCGGTCTTTTACTTTACTTTAGCGTGAAAACCATCCATTGTTTCCTCAATATTCGCGTCCTCAGAGCCGGCGCCAGCGCAGCACTGATGAGGGGGCGGCTGAGGTAACGAAAGGGGGCGATGACGTAGCACAAAGTAAAAAAACTAAACAAAAAACATATGTGGCCCATTCACGTATTTGTCGGACCGTAACCAAACCTGCCGGCTACTAATACTGGGTTCACACAGACAGTGTTTTGGTCGCCAGACAGGTCAGTGGAAGTTTTTTTTTTTTTAAACCGCAAGGTCTAGAGACTTATTTTTAGAAGCTGAATTTCTTTAAACTTGAACGCAGTATATGAACCTGAAAGCATATTTAAATTTTTGTGTATTTTGTGTTACTCCATAATAATGTTCTAGTTGAGGGCATTTGTAGTATAGGTATGGGGCCCAAACATAACCTCAAGCCCAGGGGCCCCCGGCCCCGTAAGTCCTGCCCTGCGTGTGAGGGAGGTTTTATTACGGATACACTCACTTTATTTCACGTCTTCTGAACTGTTGACAACCAACACCCGCTTACCCCCACTGTAATGCTTGGAGGGGCCAGGACAATTTTTAATATAACTCCGACTGGATTCGTCTGAAAGAAGAATGTCACATACACCTAGGATGCTTTGAGGGCGAGTAAAACACAGGCTAATTTTCATTTTTAGGTGAACTAACCCTTTAACATACAATTTTAAATTTTATTCATTTAGAATTTTACTAAGCTAATAATTAAGAGATCAGACTCATGTGAATTGACAAAACAACATATAACTTTATGATACTCACTCTCGAATGAATGTCTGGAGCTGTGATTTGATTGATCGTTGTGCTTGGTCAAATAAAATCTGCAAATAAATAAAAAAAATAAATAAAATAAGGAATTACCATAAAGAAAATGAAGACTGAAACTATTTTAATAACAATTCACCATATTTTCACCATATTTTTCATGTAAAGCAGCAAAACAACTTTACTATTACTATTTACTATTAATTAATTACTTACTATTAATGTAACTAATGTATTTAGTCATCATAATGACAATACTACCATGATGCATCAATGCTCTATAATTTGTATATATATATATAAAATTATTATAATTTTTTTGTTTGCATTAAAAAGCATATTATGGTTGTCAAAATATCAAAGTTATTTCTGAAATACCACACTCAATTAATGTGTAAGTTTTCTGTGTAACGTTAATATCAAAGTCACTGCTATTGCCACATCAACATCATTTATGCATGAACTAAATACTACTGTAAAGTCTCGACATACTTGGATTTGTTTTTATAAATAAATAAATAAATAAATAGATAAAACATTTGCAAATATAAATATGCTTATGTATTTATTTGCCAAAAAAGTACTTAGAATTTAGATTTCAAATTTTTTCTTTCTTTTTTTAAAGAAAGTCATATGCAGGTATAATATACATTTGTCTACAAAACCAAAACCATAAGCAACATAAATGCAGTTCAGTGTACTATTATCACAACTTTTTGACATATTTCAACTTTAAAGGCATAAACTGTGTTTTTAGACATTTTAGGGCAGTGTGAATTAGATCAAGTGTGCGTTGGATGAAATAAGTCAAGATGCATTTGTGCTTTAAAGATCATGCGCTTAGTTCTTGCTCATGAGGACTTTGACCTCACCACAGCCTTAAACACTGACTCATAGAGCTCCAGTTTAAAACAGTGTGGGACAACAGCAGCGCTGTAGAGCCACGAGGACCACTTTATATTATAGGTATAAAAAAGCCCAAAAATATCGTCTACACTGGAACATGAACGTAAGCTCAATTCGTAGCTACACACGTTTGATTTCACATGTTTGCAGGCATTATCATTAGCTGTCCTGTGCTATGGTCAGCTCCAGGTGAAAATGATGGAGAAACAACTTGAAGACAATCTCTATTAAAGTTAATGGTGAAATGTAAGTCCTCAAAACAGGCATTTATAACTTAGTTACAGACAGCTCATATCTGAATCAACAGTCTAACTACAACAGCTATTGAATAGAGAGGAAAGAGGGAAATGTTTGTTGCATGTCATATAACTGTGGTCATTTCTCCATTCTCAGCACCTCAGCACATTTAGGGTTAGCGTTTTTCTTTTTTTGCAAAAATACACAGGCAAACATGACAAAAAAAGAAAAAAGGAGAAGTCATAAACAATAATGCAATGCGGCAAAAGCTTTTTGCCCAGATTTTCTTACTGTGTGATAGTTGATCATCTCTTGAAGATTCTCTGCAAACTTGCTCAGGCTGGACTGTGAAGAAATGAGAGAACTTTACACAGGGCCAGCAAAGAGTCAAGACTACAAATAACAGGGGGATTATAGAGAAATCAGTATTGGTATCATTGATACTGGCCTTCAGTCATAAATAAAGATGCCATTTAACAAATATTAAAAAATATACTGTATGTTGTTTGTACATTAATTTGAAGATTGAATGTGAAATTATTGCAATATAAAAGTATATTTAAAAACTTTAATGTTAGGTGGGATTAATCGTGATTAATTTCAGAAAAATGTCCGATTAATTAGTTAATTATTTTTAATTGGTTGACAACACTACTCAAAACAAAACATAAAACAACTCTAAACAAAACAAAACTTAAAAGCTTAAAAACTGAAGTCTGACATGTTCACCATATTTTCCTTCCAAGCTCTCATTTTGACTTTCATATTGTTTTACAATAAAACTAATTACAGTAAATAAATTCTACTGTATGCTGTACTGTAATACAATGAAATGTATTTTTAGTCAGTATAAATTCAGTAAAACAAATACTACCATGGTCATCAAACCTCTATATCCTAATATACTGTAATTTTGAAAAATAATTTTACAAATCTATACTTGTTAAATCTAGCCTACAAAACAGAAATGATGACTTTAAAAAATAGGGTTGTCAAAATATTACAATTATTAAAAAAAAAAAACATCACTTGCATTACTGTATTGAACACTAACAGGTTCATGGTGATGAAAAAAAGTGTTGCGTTTTCTCGCAAAAGAAACTCTGTATTTGCGCACCAAGCATTTGTGCTCTCTGGCAAAACTACTGCATTCAATCACAAAAATATTGCATTCCCCCAAAAAAATGTTGTTTGCAAAATAAGCAAAGGCATTGAAATATAATTTTTCACTAATCTCTCTCTCTCTCTTTTACCATCACCATGTCCCTTTAAAGGGGTCCTATTATGCTTTTTCACTTTTTTAATTTTAGTCAGTGTGTAGTGTGTATGTTTGGGCATTAAAAAGATCTAGAAAGTTACAAAAAAAAGGAGATATTTAGTTTTTTAAAAATCCCTTTTCAAGAACTACAACGAATGGCTCGTTTGGACTACAGCGTTTGTTTTCCGGGCTTTGTGATATCACAAAGCGGCTCATTAGAATATCATTAAAAATAATTCCCGCCTACAGAAATTAGAATGGTTGGGGGGTGGGGAGGGGCAAGGTTGTGGTTAGAACGCTTGGTTGAGTGAGTGCATGAGACGAGACGATGAAGAAGAAGTGTTGCTGCAGAGTAATCAAGACTTTGTATAAGAGCATAATAGGACCCCTTTAAACGCAATAACATTCGGTTATTTAAGAAAACAAAACAAAATAATGCTAAAACATATCCAGGACTTTATAATGAATACATTTCAGGTTTGGTGTTGATGAAGGGTTTCTTACTGATGGAACTGTGGAGGCAGTAACAACACAAAAAGGTTGTGAAACACTGGTATTTACCTGCACCAGATGCATATACGAGGAAATACACTGGTATGTTTTCCTAGTACAATGTACAATAGATATTTCAAAGAAGAAAGAAAGTAAATATGCGAAGGCTAGGAATGCAGCCAATGTTTTTGTGTGAACACAAACCAAGCCTGCTTTCAAACGATCACCAAATAAACAGCAGTCTTTCAATTGGCACGTCATACTAGTCAAAGTACAGCAAACCAAACACAGCTTTCACTCCAGGGACACTTTCAGACGAGCGGCTCAACAGGTTTGTGATTCTGAAAGCCCCTGGGCTAATAAGAGCTAATTGGTCATTACGCTAATCGTCTGCACTCACCTCGATGACATCATCTTTGGCAGAAGTCTGTGCCAACTCCTGAATCCCGTTCACAAACTGCCTGTTGGCCGTGTTGTATGCCTTTCCAGCATCTATCATCCCGATGCATAGCTTCACCAGCTAAACAAAATACACAGTACATTGACAGATAAAGGTACAGTAAACACATATAAAATATAGATAAATAAAACATAGATGTAAAGTATATAAAATAAATATACACAAATAAATAATTAAAAATCTGTGGCATTTAGTTTTGGCTTGTTATCATCCATCAGGCAAAACTCATACGTCTGATTGCTTAGAAAAGTGGTTGGTGTTTTATTTTTGTAAGTGGTCAAAACAAAACAAAAATATCAGGTTATAAATAAAGTCTGGTCTAAACAAACAAAAAAAGACAAGATAAAAAACACAAAATGAAAATATAAGGTAAAAAAAGCTGATTGCTTAGAAAAGTGGTTTGTCAAAACAAAAATATCAGGTTATAAAGTCTGGTCTAAACAAACAAAAACAAAACAAGATAAAAAAAACAAAATGAAAATATAAGGTTAAATAATAAAGTCTGATTGCTTAGAAAAGTGGTTAGTGCTTTATTTCTTTTTACTTTTTTGTTAGTCAAAGCAAAAAAAAAAATAAAAATAAAACATTTGTCAAGTTCTAAAATAAAGTTTGATTGCTTAGAAAAGGGGTTGGTGGTACTTTATTGGTCAAAACAAAACACACACAGAAACTTGCCGCGATAGACGGTGCTGACGGTGATACCGGTGTTAAGCCGCAACACCGGTTACGTCACTTGCCCACCGTGGCACCGACCCCCACCGTCGTTTTGATTTTTTATAGAAATAAAAATCATTTAGTTCAGTAAAAGAACAGACACTACAATTAAAAACTGAACGCGGCTGCTCAATGCATCGTGCCGAAAGACAGTCGCATCACAGATCAGATTTAATTTCTCCAGTGAGGAGAGTGAGTCAAGCTGACTGACAAGAAGAGTGCGGTGAGGTGAGACAGACAAGACGATCGCGGATGATTTAGCTTCGAAACGAAATGCAAAAGCACCTGTTTGGCAATATTTTTGATTTTAAAAAGCCTGTTGACTTTTGCCGTTTATCTAAGGTGATTTTGGAAGTTTTTTTAAACATTCGTTTCTTATTTAATTGGTTCCACATTGTTTGCTGATTTTTACTTTATTTAAACTTTGTGTCATTTATTTATTTTTTTTTACATAAAGGTGTATGCCGTGCCTCCAAGCTTTCTTGTTTTGCTAATAAACTTTCTACGTTTCTTATTTATTTGGTTATATATTATACATGTTTACTTAGCCTATTTCCAGTTTTGTATACCCATTTAAACTTTATGCAAGTTATTTGTTATTTTATATTAGGCATAGCCTGCCCTATTGCATGGTGTATTTTTATTTGTTTTGTTAATAAAAGTTATATGTTTTATATATAGGCTAAAGTGAGTTTGACGTTGTATTTTGTTGTTGCATTCAAGCAATTGACACCGAACTGCCACTAATTCGAAAGTGAAGCCCCTGCAGTGATACCGGTATTACCGGTGTTGTCACACGTCGATTAACTGGTGGGAAAATGTCCTCACCGTCACAACCCTACAAAAAAACAACCAAAACAACACAACACAACACAACACAAAACAAAAAACCAACCAAACCAAACCAAAGCAAACCAAAACAAAAATTAACAAAACCAACCAAACCAAAACAACACCAACCAAAACAAAACCAACCAAACCAAACCAAAACCAACCAAAACAAAACCAACCAAAACCAACCAAAGCGAAACAAAACAAAACCAACCAAACCAACCAAAACAAAAAACAAAACCAACCAACCAAAGCAAACCAAAACAAAACCAACCAAACCAACACAACACCAACCAAAACAAAACCAACCAAACCAAACCAAAACAAAACCAACCAAAACAAAACCAAACAAAGCAAACCAAACCAAAACCAACCAAAGCAAACCAAAACAAAACAAACCAAAACCAAAACAAAACCAACCAAACCAAACCAAAACCAACCAAAGCAAACCAAAACAAAACCAACCAAAGCAAACCAAAACAAAACAAAACAAAACCAACCAACCAAACCAAAACAAAAAACCAACAAAGCAAACCAAACCAAACCAAGACAAAACAAAACAAAACAAACAAGTACTTTCTTTTTGGTACTTTTTGTTAATGGTCAAAACAAGACAAAACTAAAACAAACAAACAAAAAAGGGTTAAAAAGTCTGAAGAAAAATTGTTGGTACTTTTTGTACTTTTTTTTATTAGTGCACACAAAAAAAACAAAAGCTAAACACACACACACACACACAAGGTTAAAAATAAAGTCTGACATTATCATAATTGACTGCATTTTTTTCTTTCTTTTGCAATAAAATGACACTATATAATTTACTGAAATACAATGAATGTCTTTTTCTCAGTATAAAGGCAGTGCAACAAATACTACCATGATGCATTAATGCTCTATAATTTTAATATATTGTATTTTTTTTTACTTTATATATATATAAGTTGTATACATTGTATCCGTTTAAATGTACAATACAGAATTTACGACATTAAAAAATAAAAGTTAGGATTTATTGATTATTGACTGACTGACTGACTGACTGATTGACTGATTGATTGATTGATTGGTGCTATAGTAACACCTGTCTCCAGGTTTGTTGATGGCTGACGTTGATGTAGACTCTGCATTACGACACATCTCACACTGCGCACATTTACAATCCGTGTCGATTTCTAAGAAAAGCTACATCAGCTCCTCCTTAAGATCTCATATCCTTCCTCAGAGAGAGGAGGAAGTGAGCGGCCTGACTCGGAGTCACTCGGCCAAATGACGCTGGGTGTGTCTGAATCTGCACCGCTCACTCTCGCTCCGACAGTCCCGCTGCTGTTCAGTACAGCACTCGACAGGAAAGAGCTCAAATCAAACTAAGACTTAGCAGAGAGATGTTGCTGCTGCTTTAGTATTAGGCTGATATTTGGGCATTTTGAGATTATGGGAATAGATATTTTCAAATGATGATCCTCAGGTTTTGTTCGTGTCAGCTTGAGTGCTGATGTTAACTCAAAATGTTATGCCGCTAATGAAATTTGTAATAAAAAAAACATGTTTACTGCACTGCTTTTCGACAGCAGAATAACTAAAAGTACTAGTTGATATTACATGGAAATACAAATCAGCTGAATCATTACTAAATTCATAGCATGATATAAACATATTTACTAGTGCTGTCAAATCGATTAATCGCATCCAAAATAAAAGTTTGTGTTTGCATAATATGCGTGTGTACTGTATATATATATTTTTTTTTTTTTTGGGGGGGTATAACGCGTTACACAGTAACGAGCCTGTAAACGCCCCCATCACTTCCATAAACAAAGCAGCAAGATTCATTTTTAGCATTCAAATATGCACTGTATGTTCAGTACAGTTCATCAATACTGCTTTCACATGTTATCAGAACCGTTTTCAATTTATTAATGTTTTTTCTGTCTTTAATGCTCACACAGTAAAACACAGCCATCATACATACACTCAGCAAGCAATGTTGTATATAAAACACTGTATAGGCACATTTAAAGATACATTTTTCAATGTTAGGCAGGTTTATACTAAGAATGTTAAGTTTTAGAAATGGATTAAATCTTTAAGTCAAGTTGCTGTTTTCATACCTTTGTAATATTTTTCAGTCAATATTAAATTACTGAAAGAACTACAATTTTCACTTTGAAGTGTATTTTTTTTAGGTTTGATATGTTTTCAAAGTAACTTGAAAGTAAAGTAATTAGTAATCTGATTACTTTTTACATGCAGTAATCAGTAATGTAGTCAAATTACTATTTTCAAGTAGTAATCAGTAATTTGTAATCTATTACTTTTTTTGAGTAACTTACCCAACATTTTTTTTTTTTTTCATATTTACATATATAATTTATACGTTTTAATTTACATTTTATATAAATAAATATATATCTACTTTATGAAGTTCTGCGATACCGGCTCTATATCGGCATGGCTGTGATTAGGCCAGAGGCACGAGGCAATCACAGCCGCTGATATAGAGCCGGTATCGCTCGAGTACGAGCGTGATATTGCGTTTATACAACAGTTCGACGGAACATGTGTGTAATTAAACAAGAAACAACGGAGTGCCTAATAAAACCCTCTTTTGTGCGGAACTACTTCCTTCCGCCACGGATTCAAAGCTCGAGTTGACAGTTAAACACGTCACTTTTAGAATCCGTATCAAGGGCATGTGCTGCTTCAGTTAGGTTATTAGTGAGAAATAGTGAGGTTATAAGAGAGAAACAATGCAGCAAGACGTGCATCCAAATGAGAGAGAGAGAGAGACCGCAAAGCTAGACGTTTCTTCTTATATTAACTAACGTACTCTACGATTAGCTCAGTGAATAATAATAAAAAAAAATTAAAAAAATGGACCCGGCTAGAACAAGCGGAGTGATACAAAA